TGCTGAAAATGTCTCTCTTACAATTGATCTTTGGTCTAGTAAAGCCAAGCATGGGTATTTAGGAGTTACTGCAACCTGGATTACATCAAATTTTGAAATCAAAGATACAATGTTAGAAAACAAATATGTTTCTTCTCCACATACCAGTGAAATTATTGCCAATGAACTTCACCAGTGTATTGAAACTTGGAATCTTTAAAATCATGTAACTTCAATTACCACTGACAACGGATCCAATATGGTGGCAATTTTTCCTTTCTTAAATCAGAAAAATGGGTGTGAAAATATCCAGCGCCTTCCTTTTACAGTACACACTCTCCAATTGGCAATCGGAAAGGGATTGGCTTCAGTTGAGATTTTAGTAGCACGTGCAATAAGACTAATTAATTTTTTTCAATATCAAAAACAGGTGGAAAGGTTAGAGCAGGTGCAGAGAAAACTTGGCTATAAAGATATTTTGCGTTGTATTCAATATGTATCTACATGATGGAACTCGTCTTATTATGCTTGGGATCGTTTATTTTTTTTAAAGGATGCTATTATTCAACTACAGACTGATTTATCCACATCAACAGATCGGGAAATCAAGAAAGATGGTAATAGATTGAAGATATTGTTACTTAATGATGATGAATGGGAGTTGTTAGATCAACTTGTTGATTTGCTAATGCCATTTGAGGAGGCAACACGTGAATTTTCTGGAAATTCATATATTACCTTAAGTCGAGTTATTCCAACAATTAAAGAAATGATTTTTGATTTAGCTACTGAAGTACTGTTAAATAGTGATGATTTTTCAAATGAGGATACTGTATTTGAATCAGAAGCTGTAGAAACACAACAAACTGACTTTGATGATGATGAAATTATAAGTAATATTACAAAGAAGAAGATTTCAATTAAAAATCCATTAAATACAGTAGGTGTTTTGGAAAAAGTAAAACAAAATATTTATAGTGCATTGATATTTTACTGGAATATTCCAAATGATCTTGGTTTAATGGCAGCTTTATTAGATCCTCGTTATAAAAGCTTGGATTTCCTAGATGAGGATGAAAAATAACGAATTATCCAAAAATTCCGCAGTGAATTTGGTGAAGTGGAAATACCAGGATCTGAACCATTAAACAACCCAGCTTCATATGATGCAGAACCTTTACGTTCACATAAAGAATATCATCAACGGCGGCAAATGAAAAATAAAAAGGGGGATAAATCATATTCAAGCACACCAATTGTTGATGAAATTACAAATTATTTGACATTACCATTAGCATTGTAAACCAAAAATCCTTTAATTTGGTGGAAATTACGGTTGCAAATGTTTCCAAAACTTGCCAAAATTGCCCGAAAATATCTTGCAGTTCCTGCGACATCAGTGTCAAGTGAGCGGTTGTTCTCAGATGCCGGAAATCTTATCAATGCTAAAAGGACAAATTTAGACACAAATTTAGTGGCTAAAATACTATTTTTAAAACGAAATATTAAAACAATGCATGTTTTTGCATCAGAATGGGATGAAGATGAAACAAGTCATGTTGAGATAGATTAGGTTTCTTCAATAAAGGTTTTTTAATAAAATATTGTAAATGAAGTATTTTCAATAAAGTCTCTTCAATAAAGTGAATAAACTTTCTTTAATAAAGTAAAATTATTTCTCACAGTTTTAAAATAAAAGAATTTCGATTTCCTAAATCTGAGTTGATCAGATTGATCCAGAACTTACGGATTATCCGTATAATTTTCAAATCCAGATTATCAACCGGATTTAACGGATACAGTAAATGAAATCTGAATTTAATCCGGATTGCTTTTAAAAAATCGGATCGAACACCTATTTTGTAAACCGTATACAAAATACTGATATACAGTAGAAATGATATACGTTATAGACATATGAATTTAATATACTGTATCACACAGTATGTTTACCGTATACTTTATTGTATTTTTTACTAAGTACATTTTGCGAACAGTATACATTATACTGATATGCCGTATGTAAAAATGCAAACTGTATCAAAAATACGTATATATAGTGTAAAAACCGTATACTATTTTTTATAGGGCATTCAGGTGATCATATATTTGTGAATTAATGTCAGTTCATGGCTCATATATGGTTTTCCATTGTTCTGGAAGATTCTCAAATTTATGATTTCTCGCACAGAATAATGATGAAAATGCGTTGATTGCTTCTGCTTGGACTTCCTCTTTAGTGTTTAAGAGGATTTCTTCCTGTGTGTCCGTGACTATGCAGATTCTGTCCAGGTTAATTTTTGAGTATGTCTTGTCTAATATGTTATTGATCATTTTCCGTTGGTCTGTAATGATCATGTTATTCCTTTCTTCTATCCTTCTCTTTATTGTTGCTTCTTTACACTCTTTGTCTTTCATTTTGATTACTCTTCTGACTATCTTCAGCCAATTTCTAGTCTCGCATTTCCATGTGTGCCAATCTGTGTCTTCTGTTAACTTAGATATGTTTGTTCTGTAATGTTTATTGAAAGTTTTGATCTCTTTCGATGCCTTGAGCAACTCCGCTCCTTTCAACTCATTCTTATATAATTTTCTCATTATACTTCTTATGTATAGGAGGTCTTTACGTTCTTTCGAGGAGTTTTCAATTTCTTTATAGTTTCTGTTGAGATTTATTTTGGTGCCTCCTACCTTTTTGTGTGGGATGTGTTTAAGTGATGCCTGCTGTATACACTTGCATATAATGTCCCATAATTTATTTAAGGTATTTTCACTTCGTCTGTGAGTTTCTATATATCTGAAGGCTTTATGCTTCTCCAAGAGACTTTTGAGATAGTTTCATACTCATTCCATTGTTCATTTGTGGTGTTTTCATAATCATATACAATGCGTTTTGTTTTTTTCTCTGCTCTTCTACCGCCTTTATTATTGGTAACTATTATATCTGCGAATGAAATCTTTGCGAACGTGATGTTGTGATCGCTATCTGTAATATTGGCTGATTGGTATATGTGACTCTTCATTATTCTGGCTTCAAGTTTAGGATCCGTCCAGATGTAATCGATTCTAGTCGATGTAATTTTATTTGACCACATAAAGCTTCTCTGTTTGGGATTTAGTTTCCTGAATGTATCCACAAAGAAAGTGTTATCTAACCATGTGATGATGTTAGAGGGTTTTTTTCCAAGCTTAGAAGGGCCACTGTAATCCAACGATTTATCGATGTACGTGTTCAAGTCACCTATTAAAACATAATATCTATTTTTTTTGCTATAGTTAATGAATTCATTTTTTATGTGATTGGTTAGTTCGTTTTATTTTTCCGTGTCAGATGGTGGCATGTATACAACACCTATTATGAGTGTGCAATTCTTGAGAAGTAGCCGAGCTTCTATATAGTAGGTACCAATTCTATTAATTTTTCCTAAATGTTTTTCCCATTTTTTGTTGATTACAATACACACTCCGGATCCCTTAATCTTGTTATCTTTGTTAGTCCAGAATGGGATATATTCTGGGTTTTGTTTATTCCAGAATTTGCCATATTTTCTGTCTTTGTTAGTTTCAACTATTCCTACAATATCTGCTCTTTTATTCGCGCAATAATCCATTAAAATATTAAGTTTAAAGTCGTCAGGTCCAATTCCATTAATGTTGTGTCCCATAAGTACTAAATTAAAAGTGTTAGTATCGCTAATGTTACTATTAGAATTATGTGCGTCTTGTTCTTATTGTGAGGACCTAATATTTGTGTCTTGTGTATAGGTCACGTTATTGCTTTGAATGTTCATGTTTTGTGTATAGGTCGTGTTATTGCTTTGAATGTTCGTGTCTTGTGTATAGGTCGTGTTGCTGTTTTGAATGTTCTTGGAAGACGTGTTAGGAATTTGGCAGGGCTTTTCCTTTCTGTCCTTGTTTTTGGAGTAACTCTAGTGTTATTGTTTGTCATTTTGGCTAATTCAATTGTTTTCCTTATTTCGTTATTGTTTTGTTTTCTGTTTAGACCAGCTAAGCCATAAAAAAAAAAAAAAAAAAAAANGATTACTTACAGATGAAGGCCATAATTATTAAGTCACTATGATCATCTCGGCATCCAGTGATCAGAATTCGACAAACAAAGGCTCATTGGATTCATCTCGTCAAGACGAAGTGAATGGTGGTTGGCCTATATCTCTAGGATCAATAGATGCCAAGATATAACTTAAAACATTCTTTACCTGAAAATTTTTCGAAACTCTAAATTTCACGAAATTGGGAATATCTCACTATCCAGTGATTCTATTCTGACAAACAAAGACTCATTGGATTTGTCTCATTGATACACGTCGAATGGTGGCCAGTTCATACATGTAGCATCATTATATCTCAGGATAAAGGCCAAACCATCAAAAAAATGTTTTAAGGTACACCTTAGTATCTATTAACCCTAGAGATATGAGACATTCACCATTCAACTCATCTTGACGAGACGAATCCAATGAGCCTTTGTTCATCGAATTCTGATCACTGGATGCCAAGATAATCACAGGTTTCCAGATGATTATATCCTTTATCTTTAGGCCAAAAATAAGCTAAAATTAAATAAAATTGCAACTACTAATTTTCCAACAAATTTATTTGGTTTAAACCAAGTAGAGAACATTTAAAAATGAACCAATATATCTGTCTCTTATACACATCTATGGGGTTTGTAGGATAAGGATTTAAATCTTTATAATTTGTAATTCCGGCCGGTTTTAAAATATAAACTTCGTAAATCTGTTCGGGATCTTAATTTTGCTCATATTCTGGTAATGGATGCAATGCTGGCCAGAATTATATGATCGGCGTAAAAATTTCTTTTTTTGGAATACTTGTGAAACCAAAATCACGGGAAGCAAAATTTCCTTTTTTGGAAATATGTGTAACGTCACGTGATTAGTGACCAATGAGATTATTTGGGATTTGGTATATGTTTGACTGATCCTTGTCTGACATCGAAATTACTGTACAAAAACTGGTTCTAGTTTTACACAACACAGATGTCTACACGAAATTTTTCAGCAATGTTATTCTTTGATCAGTCAGAAGAATGGAGTCTCTTGAACTTTATAAAGTACCTTGATTCGATAGAAAGTTTGCGCGACAGCTCTGAGCCACACCGCAAATATGGAATAATTCTAAATGGAATTAAGAATGATGAAAATGAGTCGCAGAAAAAAAGGGAAAGAGCTGAACAAGCACTGTCAACATACGAGGGAAGTTAAATTTTTTTTTATTGTTCTTATATATATTGCTTAGAGAAAAGTATTTGGTCGAGTCTGATAATCCCGCCATCGAGTTGGTGGGCACACTGGTGCTAGGTCGAGTCCGAAATACCGCCGTCGAGTCGGAGGGTGCACCTCTTTGCTTAAAAATAAACACTGGATAAATCTGTGACTGGATATAAATAGGGAGACTAATTATAATTATTATCTCTTATTTTTTAGGATGAAAAGCGTTCTTCAGAGATCCAAGAATTTTAGCAACAGAAAAAACTTCAAATTTCACTTAAGGAAAAGACTATAAAAAGCACTGAAAGAATGATCGGCCATATTAATACAATACAGGACGAAGCAAGCGATATTTTAGTTCTTGGCAAGAGGGATAATCTAAGACGATTAAAATCAGGTATTTGTTGTTAAATTTACAGCTCCTCATTATTTTCCTTTGTTGACTCAGTTGATTTTTTTTACGTTAAATAGATCTTGGAGTTGGAGATAATATTGAAAATGGTGGACTTACGAAATCCCCTTATGAAGACCAAGAGGTATTTTTTTAGCTGGAAATAATTATCCGATAGAAACTAACTCTTTCTTTTGTATTTAGTCCGATGATGATTTCATGCCTGCCCGTCAACCAAAGCGAAAAAAAGCCGTTATCTCTTTCGAAAAAGGTTAGGATATTGATAAGACCTTATGTCGCCCTGAATTTTATACAATAATTTTTAATGATTTATTATATCTACAGAATAAAGAGTCGGTTGGCTCAACTAAGAAAGTCAGTATTAAATGCATCCCTATGATTATAAGGATTTGTTACCGTGAATTCTTCTCAAAATTTTCTATTTTTTTTTTTGCGTAAACAGGCCAAAACCACGAAAGACACGCTATCCTCATCACATGGAGTACCAAAACCATCGTCATCAGCAGGAGTGACAAAACCATTTTCATCAAGCTTAGAAAGCGCAATTAATAGTCCCGAGCCACGTACTCCGCCTCATCGAATTTTTTCGTATGGTACTTCATCAGGTTCTTCCGTATGTAAAGAACATGGTTCTAAAGATGACACTTCTGAAGATGATCTCCTAATGAAATCTCCTGTTGATATCACCGTCGATTGCAAGCTAATTGTCAAGAATATGTGTGTTAGATCAAAAATGGAGCAATGGCGTCGCTCATCAAGATATGTTGAAGAGATACATAAACAAGAGTATGTACAGTCGCGTCCGAAAGTGTTGCCCGATTACTTACAGATGAAGGCCATAATTATTAAGTCACTATGATCATCTCGGCATCCAGTGATCAGAATTCGACAAACAAAGGCTCATTGGATTCATCTCGTCAAGACGAAGTGAATGGTGGTTGGCCTATATCTCTAGGATCAATAGATGCCAAGATATAACTTAAAACATTCTTTACCTGAAAATTTTTCGAAACTCTAAATTTCACGAAATTGGGAATATCTCACTATCCAGTGATTCTATTCTGACAAACAAAGACTCATTGGATTTGTCTCATTGATACACGTCGAATGGTGGCCAGTTCATACATGTAGCATCATTATATCTCAGGATAAAGGCCAAACCATCAAAAAAATGTTTTAAGGTACACCTTAGTATCTATTAACCCTAGAGATATGAGACATTCACCATTCAACTCATCTTGACGAGACGAATCCAATGAGCCTTTGTTCATCGAATTCTGATCACTGGATGCCAAGATAATCACAGGTTTCCAGATGATTATATCCTTTATCTTTAGGCCAAAAATAAGCTAAAATTAAATAAAATTGCAACTACTAATTTTCCAACAAATTTATTTGGTTTAAACCAAGTAGAGAACATTTAAAAATGAACCAATATATTATCCAGAAGTGTGTCCCTCTCCCAAGAGCTGTAGGCGAATTTAAAGCTATATTAAAGAAAAAATAAAAATTTAAATAGTTCTGTTTTTGAGAAGGTTGCCACCCTGGCATTATGAAAATTTGATTTAGTATGAGAAACAAACTAGGTATGAATATTTTACTAATGTATACACTAGTGAAAAAATACAGATATTTTTGCTTTTGTCTTCATTTTCAAATCGGGTGTCACTTTCGGACGCGACTGTACATCTGTTGAATACTCCATTGATATATATATACCCTAGATGCTGAAAACATTTTTTTACAGCCTAATGCGTTATAATATTCTTGATACGGCTAAATCTTCTGCAACAGAAGCACGAAATCTCTTCAGAAGGCATTGGGATGATATTATTGGAACAATAGAAGAATTTTTAACGTCTAACCCCGATGCAACATTATTAGCTCCAGAATCTGCTTCCGCTTTAGCTTCGATTGACCAGGACATAGAACAAGATGGAAGGGCAGATGATGTCAAACAATAATAAAAAGTATATTGAAAAATGTGGTAAGTAGGGAAGGTTAGACTTTGATTTGTTGGTGATTCCTTATATTTATGTTTACTTCATAGAATACCGCGGAAAAATTACGTGATATAATTAGAATAGAGTGTGAAAAGCTACGGGAAAATGGAAATACAATATGGAGGAAACGGGTTTTAGATTTGATTGAAATATTGCAAGTATCCTGCGTACTTCATATACTGTAATCTGATTTTGTTCTAACATTGAACTACTATAGTTGGAAACAATTTTCAAATGGCAGAAACCACCTCAAAGAAAATCAGACAGAAGGACATTACATAATTAAGTTTGTTTCCCATATCTTTACCATGCTATTTGAAGATCAGTTGTTTTTGGACTGTAGGTGGTAAGTTTAAGTCAAATTTAGTGCGTTGAGTAATTACTATTATTATTAACTTTATTGCTGGCTTGTGTTTCAACAGGGGTGAATCAACCTTGCAATGCTCTGCTGATCAGCTGAACCAATCATTAAGAGACGATGATCGATGATGTACCGGAAATAAAATTGACGCAATTATATCAATGGTGGATTTTGATTTGGAGGTGTCAACTTTGGAAGTTTCAGGATCTCCATCATGTCCTGACCATACCCACTATGTTGGGGATAGAAATAAAACCGCCAAGATGCTAAAGATCATACTGAACTTTATTAAAGTCAACTATCCTGGCGATTTCAGAGAGTTTAGAAGAATAAAAGTATATGGCGTTCAAATATATGGTAAGTTCTATGGCTGGATCAATATTTCCATTATAAGTAAATTCTAATTTTCTTCATAAATCCATACAGATCATGACTTTTATATTTACAGCATGTGTATGCCCTTTGCTGGTGTATATTATTTTAAACTCGAAAAAAAGTTTTCTTATTCAACAATACCAGCTTTGCTCTTCAAAGAGTTACTAAATTTCTCCTCAAACTTGTTGACGATGCGAGTAAGTTTTTGCATGAAATGTTTAAATACATATAAAGATATTGATTGATGTAATGTTATTCTTGAAAATTAGGATATGATTATTTCGAGTACTAAGAGTGTAATGTCTTATATTACAAATCCTATTTCCGAATCAAGTGATGATGCTAAGATCGATAAAGTGAAAACTTCTCCTAAAAAAAAGAAGAATAATTAGGTTAAACTGGTTAAATCGGTGGATTGGTCAAAAAATTATGTATATCTACTGTATCTACGTGTTTATCTCGTATTCTTTAACATAATATAGTAATGTAAATTGTATGGAATAAAAGTAGTTCGTATGCTATTAATCATATGATCCATATAATATTTTTGCTTGAAGTAAAAAATTTGTTTGTTTGGCTAATGCGTGTATGCTACATGTGAAATAATACATGCCTGTATAGAAAATTTTCTTTATTGGTGTTTCAGAACAGAATGTGCACATGATTTTTTTTTTATGTATATGGAATATAATATAACATGAGAATAAATGCAAAAGGGCAGAAACGAATCCTACTCATCCAATTTTAAGGGCGTGTCCCATCCTAACCTAATAGCGAGAGGATCATCAATTGGCTTAGTGAAATCAAAAACTACAAAATTCTGATCTCGCAAATGTTTGTCAATAATCTTAGATGCTTTTTTTGGATCATCTGTATATTGACGCATGATTCTTCTCAAGAATTCACTTCCTCAAAATATAACTAGATGTGAGATATTTTCATGAATTATCTTTTGTACAGCTTGATATTTTTGGGTCACATATATTGATGAAATATTTTGATGCCAACCACTAATGAAATAGGGAATAATTCAATCTTGAGTCTTTTTTGATTCAGCACAAAGATCTTCAAATACAACAACTGTACTTCAGCACTTTGGCCTGGGAAGAATTTAGTTATATTAGGAATCTTATCAAGTGTTATTCTTTTAAATGTGATATCCTCTCAATATGGTTTTGGGCTATTCGTAAAAATCTGAAAGCTGGTTTGTACTAGTTGCCACTTTGGCTCAGAGTGCTTTTCTACCAATATAAGGTTATCATTCCTAATATATTGCTCCCCTTTTTTCCTTTAAACATGTGCTGAAGTTTATTACCGAGCATAAGATTTACAACCATATTTGTCTTTCCGCTATGAAACCCTCCACAGACTAGGAGGCGAAAAGGCCAATCCGGTGCAAATCCGTTAAATTTCATATGCTTCAAAGATTCTTTGGATATCTTATCAATGGCATATACATATATAGGCATACTCTTCTCGCTCTTTCATTCTAATTAAGCTAAGTAACACTAAATTATTATATCGAAAAAAGAATTTTAGTGAAACAAACATTTAAAGTTTTATCTTATTCTATAAGACCCAATTCTCAAAAATACTTTGAAATAACTATGTATAGGTCTTCGTAATATCAGACATACCTTAGAACAATCTGATTTTCTTCACATAATTCTTTCTTAAACTGATCCCATTCTTGCTATCTGATAAAATTATTGGAATCATCTCTATGAAAGAATTTTATATATTTCCCATGTTGTTCTCGTTGCATTTCTATTGCAAAACCATGGTGGTAATAAGGAATATCAAGTTCCAATCCTCTTGGATGCTCTAATGTTTTTAGAAAATCAGATTTACGATTTTTTGAGGGTGGTCTTAAATATTTGATATGATTTCACAATATAAATTCTTACGCTTAAAATATAAACATAGTGAGTACCAACCTCCTCTTAAAATAGTCATTGAAGGGAGCTTCCCATATGAGATTATTTGCAACGCCAAAGAAGCTTTGTATGTGCATCGTAATATCTAAGGTTGCTTGCCGAGACTTAGGGGTTTAGGCAAGATGGCATTTCGCTGAAAAGCGAAATTCTGCCAAAACTATATTAAAGTTATATTAAAAAACTGGCGAAACTTTGGAGAAAGGCAAAACTGCCAAAACTTATTATAAATGCTGAAACTGCTGAAACTCTGCCGAAACTATAATAAATCTATAGTAAAATTTTGACGCAATTAATCGTAGGATTTTGAAGAGGTTTAGACAAGCAACCTTACCTAAAATAAATAGTAAAAATGGAAAACTATAGGGGTGTGACATAGATAACAAATTATAGTCATGTGATATGTGTTTCATATTAAGAAATTATCTACATTAAAATATATTTTAGATATTTTGGCCATTATTTCATAATATATCGATGCTATACACATAAGCTGGCTACCATTCGATATGTCTTGATGAGACTAATCCAATGAGCCTTTGATAAAAATGGCCCCTGAAACTGAAATATTTCAGATTTGCTAAAATTTCGAAACCGTAGCCATAATTTCAGCTAAATCCAAAATTCTGAAATCCGAAATTCCAACCAAAATGCCGAAATTAAATATATAAATTTGGCCAGAATTATGCACTTAATTCTGGCAGGAATCGATATTACACAAGATTTCATATTTGTTCCTACCAAAATTGATTTTTGTGGAATAGATATTACCAAATATAGAAATGATTAACATATCTGTTTTGACCAGAATTACGATTTTCAGCTGGAATTACGAATTTGTCTGAAATTATGAATTAATTTTGGCCAGAATTATAAATTCAGCTGAAATTATGCCACAAAATGATTTTTCAAAAGATTTTTGCATGAATTAATTTTGGAAAAATTTTGGATTTCGAATTCAGAATTTCAGATTTCAGATTTTTGCCAAATCAATTTCGGGGCCATCCTTAGCCTTTGATTATCAAAATCAGATCACTGAATAGTTAGTTATTCCTGATTTTATAAAATTCAGAATTTTAAAAAATTTTCAGGTAAAGTATATTTGGAGGTATATCTCAGTATCTATTAGACTTAAAGATATAATTCAACTAACATTAGACTCGTCTTGGTGAGGTAAATCCAATAAGCCTTAATTTGTCAAACTCTGATCACTGGATGCTGGGATAACCATAGTGGTAAATAATTATAACCTCAATCTGTAAATAATCAGGCAACACTTTTTGACGTGATTGTACATAATCTGAAGATAGGCAATCCCTATTTTTTGGTACGTATCAGAGACTTTGCTGTCTCAATACTAATTATTATTTTTCTCATTTTATAGAAGATTCTGAACTTCTGATGACTGATGATTCTAGTAATGAAACTTCAAATGATACAAATTAAGGTTTATTAAAATATAACCCATTTATTTTACTTAATTATTAACTTTTTAAATATAGATATCGAAAATAATAAAAACAATGACATCAATAAAGACAATAATGGTAATATAAATAATGATAGTAAAAATAAAAAAAAGAGACTTATTAATAAATTAAGCTCTACTATAATATTATTAATGAATGGCTTAATTCTTTAAGAAAAATGAAGAAATAAATATTAGTGATATAAATTTAAATTCTAACAACAACACAGTGCTGGTAACTGAAGAAAAGGGCACTTTAATTTTGCACTTGTATTCAGATGATAAAGGATGTCAGAAGCCTAAATATCAAGCTCAATTAAGGTTGCCTGCCTAAATTTCTTCAAAATTCTATGATTAGTTTCTCCAAGATTTTACTATACAGTCAACTCCCTCTATAGTCACTCCCGTTATAGTCACATTCTACTATATAGTCACACCAGTTGAATGTTCAAAACACTTTATTATTAAAATCTATCCTATATAGTCACAATCTATCTATAGTCACTATCACACCTATCCTCAAAAATCTTATATTAAAAAGAACCGTTTATAATCACAGTTATATAAAGAATATATTAAATAACTTGGCATCTAATAATCGTACAAAGATGTA